GGTGTTGCCCGCCTCCTTGTGGCGAGGCGCGCTGGGTCCAGCGTAGGTCATCATGCCGAGTTCGTCCACCGAGACACTCTGTCTGTTATCTTCACTCGAGACCGGCGGGCGCATAGCGCGGTGCGCGGAATGGAAGGCGCGATGGTCGCGCGGCGCCGGTGTGCTCGGCCCGACGGTGTACGAAACGGGGCCGGCGTTGTTAGACTCGTAGCCCTTGCCCAGGCGCTTTACGCCTGTCGAAGCCATCAGAAAGCGGTCGTAGACGCCCTCGAGGCGTTTCTGAGTAGGGGTATCCGGGATGGAGGTATTCGCGGCATTCGGCTTCCTGGCGGGATACGGCTCGACATGGAATGGGGAGGACGTCAACTCGTCAAAAGACCGCTCAACGGTCTGTGATCGGTTGTTGGTTTCGTCGGATTTACGCGACAGTGGGGATGCGATGAACAGACTCCTGTCCAGAACTTCTTCGAGGCGAGGCGAGGAGGGAACGGCAACAGAGCTGCGGCTAGGCTTGGTGATTTCTAGCTCCAGGACCGCCATGGGAGTGATGCGGCGTTGGAGGAGGTCCGCATGAGATTTGCTCTTCTCCTTCCGTTTCGATGGCGAACCCGTCTCGACATCAATGTCGAAAGACGCGTCCGCAGCTTCGGGAGATCGAGTGCTGACGGTCGCTCGGCGCTGCCGTCTCGGGGTACTCATCTGAGGCAAAATCTGACTCGTCCCCTCGCTCAGGTCTGCGTTGGCGACCGTGGAATCGGCGGCGGCTTGCATCGAAGACAAGTTTTGGCTGGAAAAGTCGGGCGCGTCGGTGAAGATCTGACTGGCTGCGAGAACCTTGCGAGGAAGCCGCGAGGATCTGTATGTGTGCGTCTGGGACGCTGCACGCGAAAGAGGAGCAAGGGGAAGCGGAGGGAGAGGCGTCACTTCAGTGGAAGATGAAGCGAAATTTTGGCGAGCGTCTTCAACGACCTCTGAAAAATAACAATTTAACAAATGCTCCATGTCGTTTGGACAATAGACTTACTCTCAACGTTGCGCATCCAAATCGCCATGCGGTCCATGCGGTTATCCGCTGCCAGGCGTTCGTTATGCACAGCGTGCCTAACGACGGGAAGAGAGGATTTGGCTGAAGAGAAAGTGTTGGCCAAAGTCGTAGCTCGTGTATTGGGTACATACCATCCCGCTCAAAAGCCTCATCCTCCCACGATTCGCGTCGCAAGCTGTTGCTTCGACGCGAGACACTGTCGTCTTGGGCATCGACTGACACCGTCTTTGAGGAAACGTTGCGACTAGCGGCCTGCGATAGCGCGGTATTTTTGTAGAATTGCAAGGTCTTGTCTGTGCAGCAGCATCAGCAATGCGCCCGACGAGTGAAGACAGCGACTGTACCGAAAGATAACTTGACGCTATGTTTAAAGCTGGTGATAGCAAAGCTACCCGGGGAAGTAGTGGGCGGGGAGGCTGGCTTTTGAACCTCTGCGAAACGATGTAAGTCTCGAGAAAACAACCGCCGAAGATCACAATTACCAGGGGTCGGGGGCGGAGCCACCAAGCGTGGCGGAGAGAGTACATTGGTCATGTCCGCGCTCTGGTTCTCCTTATCGCGCTCGCGCTCACGCTCCCTGGCGGCAATGGCGTTGCGCTGGCGCGCAGCTTGCTCACGCTCTTCCTCAAACTGCGCATCTCGATCTCTCTCAAGCTCATCGAGTCGCTCCATCTCCCGCAGGCGCTCTTTCTCCCGCTCCCATTCACGAACCCGATCCTTCACCGAATCGCGTTTCACTCGGTCGCCGGTGCGGTTCGCCGTCAATTCCGACAAGGGCTTGACTTTGCGTGCGTCCCTGCCATTTTCCATGGAGGGTCTAGGAAGCAGTGACGGTGCAGGAAGATTTTCGCGAGTGCGACCGCCGATGATCCCCAAGGGCTTGCGCGGATTGGCAGCGGCCGTAATCGAGTTGAGGGACATGACATTCTGCTTAGCCAAACTGGCTAGTGGAGAGGCCGGCGGGGAGCCCTTTATGGGCGAAAGATCCACAACGGGAGGGACTGGTACCCGTTTTCGCACTTGTACTGATACTGTCATAAGTGTGCCGTTCGAACCGAACCTTTACATAGATCACTTACTCTTGGAGGCTGTAACCTTGGGTTGCGATTTAGACTTGGTGATAACGTGGGGTAGGCTGTTTCCATCCTTTGAGAAACTAAGGCTCGAATCCAGGCCAGGAGGGGAAAGGTTCTCCTTGGCGATTGCGGACCGCATTGGCTTGTATTTCGACGTGTCGTTTTCGAACACAACGGAGGACGCGTAGCTCGAGGATCGCTCTGCGAATAAGATGAGCGTCAATTAATTCTCAGGGTGGTGCTCTCTTACTGTGCGCACTCTCGGGCTCTTTGAGTTGTCGCCAGTATGAATCGGTAATAGCATCCGACATGGTGCAGCGCAGATCGGCGTTGGGGGAAATCATCCGTCGGAGGAGCTTCTCGATGGACTTGGTCATCTTCCAGCTACCAACCCATTTGCCTCGAAGCTACGGAGAAGATGAGTACTGTGCACAAACGCCCGGGGTCGTACTCACAGTACGGGCCCAGTACTTCTCCAGATCTTCTTTCGTGGAGAACTGTTCGGTGTCCGAGTGCTCGAACGGGGTCCGACCGATTAGGATCTCAAAAAATGTGATGCCGAGCGACCAGACGTCAGACTTTCTGGTATCGTGGGGGAGGCCACGAGCTCGCTCGGGAGATAAGTACTGTACCAAATATTAGCAACAGAATCAATGACGTGAGTAAACTGACCTCGGGGGTGCCATATGACAGGTTGCTGTGGAACGCTGTTCTCGACTTCATGTCATACTTCTCAGCGAATCCAAAGTCCACTAGAACAGGTATGTTCTTGTCGGAGAGTAGGATATTGGCCGGTCTGCATGATATTATTATTGCAAGCGTGAGAGGTGAAAAGAATAAAACGAACTTGATGTCGTTGTGCACGACACCTCGCTTGTGCAAGAACTCGACGCCTGAGAGAAGAGAGCGGAACCATTCACGAGCTTTGGACTCGTCCACCTCGACTGGTATGAGTGTCGGAAGGTACGCCCTGGCAAAAGTGATTAATTTCAGGCTCCCACGCGATTGAGACGGAAGACACGCGTTAAAGGCTTGGAAATGCCCGGGGGCGGTTCTGGTGTATGAATTGAACGACTCACATTGTAATTAACGCGTAGGAAGGAGTGATTATGAACGAATGAAACGGTATGATCGAAGGGTGTGGATCCGACTTGAATGACCGAACGATCTTCATCTCGTTCCATCTATGGGCGCGAATGTTGAGAAATACGAGAGGAGAGTGCGGTAGACAACTCACAGAGATCTGACGCGTGCGGCAGTCGTGCTAGTCTTGGATCGGTGTACGAGCTTGACCGCGATCTTGGTTTCTTGGAGCTTCACGAGGTTGTCGGCAGAGGGTGAGTCTGGGTCCTCCTTAGGACGACAGAGCCACACGCTTCCCCAGTTCCCGAAACCAATCTCCTCGACAAACTGCAGTTTGTCTGACAGGACTAGCGCAGGGCTCAGAGACGCGAATATCGCGGAGAAAGCGGAATACCTTGGTCAGAGAGGGAGAATACATCAGTAGAGCCCTCGTGCGGGTGAGGGTAGTCCATGGTACTGGCAGCAGTACACAACGAAAGCTGGACGAGGACGAGGGAGAGAGGGCAATCAACGACCACGTGAAGCGGGTTTAACGGTAACGTGTTTTGACCGGAAAATGCCGGCTGGGCGCTGATTTGATTTTAATCATTTCGCCCTGAGCAAAAGGTAATTAGACTGCAATTGGCAGTCAAAATGGATGACAAGGATGCACGGTAGGTATAGCAGTGGTACGGTGAATAGCTAAGTGGAACGCAAGGAAGTGTGGTTGGGAATGCCTGCAATGATTATACATAAGCCTCAGAGGGCATTCGCGGAGCGGAGAACCATGGGATAAGTAGATCGTGAACTTCTGAAGGGACGAGATGGGATAGTCTGCAGTTAGTAGGCTGGGTTTCCGAAGCAGGTGTCGAGGGCGTCGTCTACGCCTGGCGGTAGGACGTAGGCGAACGTACACCGATAGATCCCCATTATAATAGTCAGCTTTGGCTGTGAAGGAGCTAGATTGTTAAGAATGTTCTCGTGGATGCGGTGGGGTGGGTGGACCCGTGCAGATAAATACACTGGAGCTCTCGTGAAAGGAAAGACATTCGCCACGAAAGCCGTCTGCGCACGGTTACTTGGGTGCGCTCCAGTTCAGCTCGCCTTCGGCGCCAAGCTTGGCGAAAGGAAAGAGAGCTAAGAAGAGCCAGCAATGTCGCCTGCACCTGCGCCGCGACCGCGTTGTGCGTACTCACGGTGATCTTCGTCTGTGAGGTGTAATTTTCTCGTCGAACAAGCGCAACTTATTGTGCACTCGACCTGGCTGGATACCAGAGTGAGAAAAATCGAATATGTAGTTCATATTCTCCAGAACAAGTACGTTTGACGCTTTTAGGGACATAGTTGCGTGTACGCAGTGAGGATCGCAACGCCGGTCAACATCACAGGCGCGCCCTCCCGAACAAAGTCAAAAATCGGCAGCAGGGAGGTTAAGCCAGAGCGTGATAGCTGAGACGGCAGAGTATAAGAGCACAATTTCAGAGTCTGACGCCTGAGGCCTGAGGTTTGACGGTGATTAGTAGAAAAAAAGTTTTGACAGGTGGCAGTACAATTGCGATTCGCGATCATTGATGGCAGATCGAAATTCGTTTTTTTTTTTTACTCCGTTGCAACCGCGCCTCAGGCTGAACTTCAACATTTTGACAAAGAATAAGTAAGGCACGAGCGGCACCTGCAATGCAGTCGGAGAGCTAGATACAATTAAATACAAATCGCCGGACCCTGACAAGAGCATACGACAATAAATAGCAGAGTCAAAATGAGTCGTTTCAGTTCCTGGAAAGCGGCAAAAAGTGCCTGAAGGCAAAACAATGAGTAGCCCACCGCGGGGGTCGAACCCGCAGCCTTCAGATACCGCCGAAACAGACGAATTAAAAGTCTGACGCTCTAAGCCAATTGAGCTAGGCGGGCCTTGGAGTCCGGGAAGAACTGGGGAGGGAGGGAGGAGGTTCTTCTTAATTTCTGGATATTTACCGTATTTCTAAATAAATAAATCATAGAATTGTTGCTCGCTCGGCCCGCGCTTCGCGCTGCCCTCACTCGCCCCTCCTCCCCTCCCAAAGGAGGAAGGGGGAAGAGGGAATCTGTTTAATTTCTGGATGTTTGCCGTATTTTTTAGATCGCGAAATGAATAAATTCCAGTAGAATCGTCGCTCGCTTTGCGCAGCCCTCACTCGCACCTCCTCCCCTCCCGAAGTCAGAACAACACCCGGATGTTGCCCGGATGATACATCCAGATTTCTGGTTAGTAATTAATTTCTTCCGTTATATTCTTACTAGTCCAACCCAAGAATGAAATGGATGAATCTGATTTGCTAGCTGTTCCTGAAAACAACATTCAAATAGAACTGAATGCTTTTTTTCATTTCTTTAAATGCTCTATTCTAACACCAAGCAGAAGCCAGAAAGAAAAAAAGTCGGAATCCAAGTGCGCACTCAGAGCATTCCCAAACTATTACCATGAAAGGTGTGTAGCAAACAAACTTACGGGCGTCTCCGATAAATACTATCTTTGGCCCACTTATGCAATTCGGCCCACTTATGCAAGATTTCAATGTGGCAGGTGGAATATGAACTCAAAGCCTCCATTAAAAAGGAGGGTTACTCTCCTGATATGATAAGTGCTGTATCCAAGTTTGTAGAGCATTCCAAGAAGATTTGCACCCACCAGAAAATCGAATCCGGTTTTTCTGCAGATTTTGATGAAATGATCGCCTGCCAAATTACCAATCAAAAATCTTGCAGAAGCCGGTATTTGGTCGTTTCGCCTCGGCGATACTCCCGCAAGTGCAGTTGAAGCTCAGAAATTAGGCCACTTCACACAATTGAAATTCATATATTAAGGATGCTCCATCTGCATTCCGGTGGCCGTTGGGTAAACGGTTTTGGAGAACACGGCCGATCAAAGAAATCTTGCATAAGTGGGCCAACAATAGTACTAACTGTATAATAGACTCTATCGTCTGGAGGGTGCGCCTACAAATCCAATAAGTATCAGGTCAGAAAGAGAAAAGATACGACTTACATGCTATAAGGGCTATGATAGCACAGACTTCCACAGCCAAAGTGACGTTGAGGATAGTGTTAATTGTGCAGAAGTTGCTATCGATGGTGTTGGCAGTGGTCGTGTAGCCGGCCCGGGCGAGCTCAACCTTGGTGAGAGCCTTGGCGCAGGTGAGCTGAGTTTTGGCGAGCGTGAGTTCGAACCGCAGCGTGCGCAATTTGAAGGTCGTGGTACTTAATCTGTACAGGCGTTGACTTGAGGTGAATGTGATAACGCACAATATACTTTGAGTTCGATCGCGAGATGCGCAACATCAATGAAGAGGGGTACTAAGGTTTTGCCTTTGGTACTTTGTAGTGCTTGAGCTGTTGAGGCATAATTATTGCGTTGAGGTGAATGAATGTGTTTTGCTAAAATACTTCGAGATCCGACAGTAGTAGTCGTACAACTGCGTAAATAAGTTCTTATCCCAAGACTGTGCCCCAATCTGTGGCCTCGACAAACTCGACAAACATCCGCGGGGGTCTCGCCAGACCCGCGTGGCTCGCAGTGGGCTTTCCAGCATAATCTGGTACGAGTCATGGTTAGCTAGGAAGAAGAAGAAAAAACACGGAAAAGCCTCACATCCATATTCGTCGTAGTACAGAAAGTGCTCCACGACGTCGTGCACGATATGCGGCGGGAACCCGAGGCTCTGGATGTTCGTCTCGAACTGCTCGACGGGGATCTGCTTGAATACGACGCGCTTCCCAGTCACTGGGCCACATAAAACGATTGGTTGTTGTATATATACGCGTATAAGTAGATGTGAACCTTGCGAAAGCTGCAGTGCCACGTCCTCCACGGTGATGTTTTCGCTGCATGTGCGGACCTCGGACCCATCGGGGAAGACAGGTTGCTCGAGCACCTGGCGGACAAACAATCCATAATCCTGAGCCATGTCGATGAACGGTAATACGGTGGTTGACCTGACCGGCCAGGGAATGGCGAAGGAGCCGTCCTGCTGCCGTGCCAGCATGATGGCGCTCATCGAGAGGAAATTGGTTCCGTAGAAGCCGGCCTGTACGTCGACGAAGGGGATGCCTGACATGCGCGTATAGTCGGTTATGATCGCCTTGCTGTCCCAGTGGTAAACACGCGCGTACTTGCCGCCACTGGCCTTGGAGACGGAAGGCAGCCCGGACCATATGATGCGAGAAACGCCTCCCATTTTTGCGGCGTCGACGAGGAGCTTGCCCTCAGCAATTTCCTGGGCAGACGCATTAACAACCCCGGGGAAAGGAGAATTTCATACTTACCCGATCGCTGTCCAGATGGGCCCAAAAGTCGGTTACGAGCTGGATAGAACTACCGTCAGGACGATATAAGAGAGGGAAAAAGAGCGAGTCCCACAAAGGCGATGTCTGCGCCGGAAAATGCCTCGAACACGCGCTTCGCATTCCCCACAACAAGTGAAACGACAACGAGTTGGACACCGATTTTGGCGAGGGCCTGAGCGGTGGGTTTTGTTGCGTCGCGGGTGAATGCGCGGACGCGGTATGGATTATCGGATTCGGCCAGCGCCTTGATGACGCTGCCACCTTGGGTGCCCGTGGCGCCGACAACAGCTACAAGTGGGGCGGATAGAGACTGTGTGACTGTCATGTTCCGAATGAGAAAAGTGCAAGTAGAACGAAGGAAGAACCAAGGTATATAAATGCGCGGACCGCAGCTCGAATCATACATTCAGGACATACCCGGAATGATTTCCCGCATGTGAACGGCATGCCGAGGTTGACGAATGCTGGCGGCGTATTGTAGTGTACGTTTTCAAACTTCTCCACAGCGAATGAGTCGTTGACATCATTTCATTGGTGCCAGAGGTTTTCGCTATGGACGGGATTATGAAAGCACCGAAGGCCCGGAGGTGCGTGAGGTTTGGATATATATGAGAGCCCAATCTCAAAGACCAAGGGAAGACATCGGCGAATCGAGATGGACGGCTGTTAACTTGGGACGACGTTTTCGAGGCGGGGAACGAGTGGTTGTGGCTTCAAGGCTTTTCCAGAGTAAAGGTCCCGTAACATATCTGTCATAAATGCGGGCAGACGTAGCCTCTCTTCCAGCACCGTGGAAGCAGTGGTTTCCGAACTTCAGATCTGTAAGAGCGCTCAAGGCGGCTAGAATTGGCTTTCAGGCTTGAGATAGAACGACACAGTCGGTTCGACAGAGACCCGCATCCAAGTAAGCCCCCGCATAATAGCTGCCGGTATTAATAATATGAGAAGAGAGGCAAGTGGTGGCAGTGCTGGACCATTTCAAGCTTACGACAACAAACATTTCTTCGAACCATGCCAGGATCTGTGTTCAGTCTCGAAGGGAAAGGCCTCAAGCTCAACACCCGCGCAGATCTAGAACCCTGGCTGGCCGATGTAGACCCCACAAAAATCGAGGAAATCCACTTTGGTGGCAACACGATCGGCGTGGACGCGTCGCTTGCTCTGGCAGAGTTTCTGGCAAAGACGACAATCCTAAAGGTCAGCCCGCTCGCTTGATGAAGCATCGTCAAATTCCAACCCAGCGCGATGCAAGATCGCCGACTTTGCAGACATATTTACTGGCCGTCTCATCTCTGAGATCCCGCTCGCACTCTCCGCAATCTGCGATGCCCTCAAAGACAAGCCCTCGCTCATTGAGCTTAACCTCAGCGACAATGCCTTTGGCGGGCGCTCTGTCGACCCGATGGTGCCCTTCCTCACTCACAACCGCACGTTCCAGGTCCTCAAGCTTAATAATAATGGGCTGGGGCCGGCGGGCGGTGTCGTCCTCGCGAATGCGCTGCTCGAGTCTGCTCGTCTGAGCAAGGCAGAGGGGAAGAAATCTAGTCTGCGCACCGTTATTTGCGGGCGGAATCGCCTCGAGGATGGCTCCGCGTCCTCGTGGGCGGACGCCTTCGCCGCGCACGGCACGCTGGAGGAGGTGCGCATGCCGCAGAACGGCATCCGTATGGACGGCGTGGCGGCACTTGCCCGCGGGCTTGCGAAATGCCCTCGTCTGCAGCACGTTGATCTGCAGGACAACACGTTCACCGCAGACGGAGAGACGGCGGGCGTAGAGGCGTGGACAGAGGCGCTCAAGTCATGGCCAGAGCTCACGACACTTAATCTGTCAGACTGCGTGCTGTCGGGTGATGGGGAGGTGCCGTTGATTGTCAAAGCACTGGCGGCGGGATCGAACCCGAAACTGCATACGCTGCAGCTTCAGAATAACAACTTCGAGACGGAGACATTCTTGACGCTCGCGAATGGGGTATCGACCATGGCAAGTCTAATGTTGTTGGAGCTACAGTGGAATGATATCGAACTGGACGACGAGAACATCAAGGCACTTGCTCTCGGCTTGAAGCGACGCGGGGGTAAGCTCTTGGCTTCAGATGACGACGAGGAGGAGGAGGAAGAGGAGGCCGCGAACGAGCCGGAGGAGACCAGCGAACCTGTCACAGCTGAGAAAGCGAAGGAGGTCGATGATCTCGCGGAGTTGCTTAGCAAGGTCGATATCCACTAGAACATGGTCACTGCTGAGGAAATGTATCTCTCAACATACACTATTAGAATTATATTCTTTTAAATTGCTATGTACTCTTGCGAGGTCCCACAAAAAAGTTGTGTTAGTGAGAACAATATCTACGACTCGAAAGTCCGGTCAACCGCTCCAAAATCTAGAAACCGCCTCAAAATCAAAGTCCGTCCCTTCCTCAGAGTGTATCTCTTGACCAGCTGCGTGCGTTAGTATGCATGTACGTTCCGAGCCCGTCGGACTTTCCGCCCCCAGAACAGCCTGACGAAGCGTAGGACAAGCGTCCATTACTGCTACTCCGAATGCACGCAAGTCTGACGGATCTTGTCTGGCCGGATCCGGAGGATCTTCA